TCTCAGCCTGTACATTCTATATTCAGTGTATATATTTTTAAAAACATTGACAATAGAATACAAATATATGCCGAATACATTTCAATATGACATTCGTTAGATTTATCTCACCGTAAAATCTTTATTAGCCAAACACATGCTATTCAGAATTCATCTAAAAATTCTCAAATATGTAAAGTACCTATAGGCGTACATTACAAAATTAAATTAAAACTAAAGGATTTGTCAATAAATTCATAGAAATTAAAATTGACACATATACATAAACAATTAGAATATTAAATAAATACAAATAACTAAAATGCAATATGTACTACACCCTCTAAATTTTTAATACAAAAATCATTTAACATTTCTCTTTGGTAATCCATGAACTCTTCCGTACTTAATGCTTAAGCGATCAGGGCCGCCTCAACCATATGTGCAGGTCGTGCGGCGCACGACGGCGTCGTCAAACAAAAGGCGTCGAAGATATTCTATTACTTTTACCAATGAGAGGCCAGGGATACTATAACGCTGCCAATATGAGATTAAAATCCAAGATCATTTTTCGGACCTTGTTGTAGCCACAGTTTAAACTTGGTTGTAAATAATGCGATAAAAAATAACAATTCTAATAGGCAATTTTACAATTTTTTTTCAGCCTCAACTAATCGTTAGACTGTTTTAAAAGAACATAATGCAATTTAACTTTAAAACCACTTTCTGAAACTAGATGGTCGAGCAGAATTAATGCCATTAGTCCATTGAGGTATCAGCTTGGGAAGTCTATGATGTTTTGTATAGTATATTTAGTGGAGTTTCTTTCGATAACAATACAAAGCATATAGCTAAATATTTAGCAAATAAATTAAAAAGTTACTAGTTTATATGTACATTAATATTGTGGTATAATGTACTCTTCAATATTGTTAACAAAATATTACAAACTAAAGATTTTAATATTTCGAAAGCATGTACGCATATTAGTAATTTGCTAAAGTTTTTCAATAGTTATCGCAGTGATAAAGGATTTGAAGATATCTGTTAGTTGATGCTTCTGAACTTGAAAAATCTCTAGATGTACAGCCAACCTTCAAAACTGGAAAAGTCTTCAGACTAAGGCGTGTTAAAAACCCCTCCAATTACAGATGGAGAACGGGATTGGAAAATAAACAATTGTTTTAATACATTTCATATTATTTATAACATCAATTAGTGAAAGGTTCGACTTATTGTCGTCCAATTCCAATCATTTTTAATTTTTATGGGATATTTGTAAATTTTTAGATAAACCAGAAAAGGAACAAATAAATTGTTGTTTACAACTTAAAAAAGTTTTAACGGAGAAAAATCGCAATGAGCGTGACATAAACGGAACAGAATTGTTAGACGAGTTGCAATTTTTAAAAAATGATACATTGCAAACACCAATACAAATGGTAAACCATATTAATAAAAACAATTTAACTCATACTTTTCCAAATACAGGTACAGCTTTGCGAATTTTGTTAACAATGCCTGTAGCGGTTGCCGAGTTGGAGATAACTTTCTCAAAAAGTTGATCAAAAACTATTGATAATTTAAATTGCCTAATTAATGTCAAATTTCTTATTTCTAGTGGTAGCAAATTAAATAAATAAACTAAATCACTCTCAGTTATATTTAAACAGTGGAAGAGTATTTGTAGATTGAGTTCTAGTCTTGGGCCATGATCACGTAAGTCAACTCTTACGGAGAGTTTGCTTGGATTCGTCCTAACATTTACCAGTTTTAAGAAAGTAATAAGAGGATAAAACTCTCAAACAACGCATTTTAGACTTCTGCAGAATTGGGAGATATGTATGTTTATTCCAAGTGAGTCCAGCGTCGATGTTAACCACTAGAAAATTGATATCATGATCAATTGAATTATTCATAATTGATCTGGCTTCAAATGTTAATGTTTTGCACTTTGTTTCATTAAGTGCTAGTTCGTTTGACGTAATTCAAGCTGTAATCTTATCTAGAACTTCCGTATAATACTCCAAATGTATTATCATCAGCATACATATAGGTATTTATTTTGCTTATATAAAATCATTAATAGTCATAAATAAATGTTATAAAAAAGAGAAGGCCTAGAATAAAGCCTCGAGAAACGCTTCTTTTAGTTTGAAATTGATTACTAGTGTATTGACCAACATGGGTTATTTAAAATCTATTATGTAAATGAGAGTTTAAAAACAGCAATGCTAGACCCTCAAGGTTCTCACCTAGGGCCCGTGCTGTTTAAGTTGTATATTAGCAATATCAACTAGTGTTTGCCCTTTAATAAATTTCGCCGACTTGAAAACATTAAATTACCTACATTAAATGCACAAGAGATCGGTATAATTTACCAGAAGACCTTCAGAGGGGAGAAAAATAATAACATAATGCTCAATACACCATTTACAACATGAACCGTCTCACAAGTAAATGATTTTGGAATCTGAAGAATTTAATATTTTAATTTTAGAAAACCATATCATTGAATATTTATTAGGTGCTTAAATTTGTTGGAATACCATATTGGTCCAATGTTTACTGAAGTTTTGGAAAATGCTAGTGGCCTCGAACAGTTAGGTTTTTTTTTAAATGCAAAGTATGGACATAACGAAGGGAATGGGGCGACCAACTAGACCAGCTGATCTATCACCTTCAGATTTTAATTTTAAAATTGGAAATGATTTATTAAAAATTTTTAGAAAACATATATTAAAATGGTTGGTTATAAGATGCTCAAAATACGAATAATATAAATGAATAAGAAAGCAAACCTTGTTGTTGTGGACTTGACGATAAACATAATAATTATATAAAAAACAAGCAAATAACAAACAATTGCAATTAAAAATCCTTATCAATCCAATACACATGACAATTTGATAAAATTCATGCTTTAAATTCGAAAAAACTAGTTTTATTAGTATGATATACCTACAAGGCCCGTGAAAATGGGCAATCCCACAGAGTACTGTATTTGACGCTTGTGTTTTGAACTTTATATATTATATGTATGATGTACATAAGGATTAGAAATAATGGTATATACAGATTACAACTTCAATTATTTTTATTTCACATGATTAAATAATAACAATGATTAGTCTTATTGAATTCTACTTAGAGTAAGACCTATATAGTACAACATGAAAACCATAAATATTTTGGGTCAGCTCATAATTCAATAAAATGCTCGATAAAATGTAGATGCAATATTTTATCGATCTTATATTTAGCCTAATCTAGACAGTTCATAAGATTCAATTTGTTGCAGTTTCCAAACAGAGTACGGTTGCATATATTAAGGCGCATTTTGAGAATAATTGTGTCGCAATTACTAATTCAATTACTATATTATAAAAAATGGTGAAGGCTCTAGTAGTACGCCAAATTTTGAATACAATTTAACTGACTACCCTAATCAATATTCTCATTGTTTTGAAAGCCTTTAAAATTATGTTATCTACATGAGAGATGAAGGACAATGGCCTATTTAATGTGATACCAAAATTATTGACAGTATTAACAAACTAGGGGACGGTTTCACGGTTCATAGATACTATGGTGGTCTCATCCTAGTTGCTAGGGACGCAGTGACGTCACCGAATAAAAAGTAAGTTGACAGAAAATATTCTATTAGGTTCGTACATAGGTTTTTTAAAAAATCTAATATTTTATTGTTATTTAGTGGTGTCTATATTTTTGGACTATTTATATGATTTGCGACCGAATGCCATCTATAAAATCCTCTTCCCTAAAATATTTTCACAGTATTAACATTGATCTGATATTTTATAAAACAGTGCGCCCATATTTTTTTGTAAATACTCGCTTTTTGGGAAAAAGAAAAATGATATCAACACTACAGCTTGCCACAGGCATGCTAAAATTTCAAATTATTTTAGGGTATAAACAAAATGTGCTCCGAGTTTCGCTTGGAGGCCGTACCTAACCCAAAATGTTTAAAATAAACCACTGACACAAAAATATTGATCTTTATAATTCAAATGAAAAGTTAAATATTCATTTGAAATTTTATCAAAATAATTACATCATTTTTCATTTCTGTTTTGTAGCTTATCTTTCAAAAAATCAAACTACCGATATTATAAAAACTCTAACACTAAAAATATATTTAAACACTACTAAGCAATAATAAAATATTAGATTTTTAAAAAACTAAGTCCGAATGAACTTGTGAGAGAAAATATTAATATAGGCAAAGATTTGGGACAAAATTATTGGACCTAAAATGATACCTTTGAGGCACGTCAGGAGATACATGAATTTCAAGGACTGAAAAGTGAATGGCCTTTTCTATCAAATAATATTGATATATCTGTGTACCTATATTATATCAATTTTCAAAAACATTGCATGTTTTTCTCCTGAGGTGTAAGCTTAAATGTCTCAAATCCTCAAAAAGTAACTGTACTGAGTACTGTGAATGACTTGAACATACTTCTGTAGTTTCTAAGTTTTTTTATAAAGAAATATTGTTTAACATAGCGTTGCTAATACCAAGGGTCACAATACTAGAACTAAAAGGTCAGCTGTTGATATATGTTGATAAAATGCGTATTGTCTGTCATGTATTAATTTATAAGATGTTTGAGGAGCGCAATGTAGTTGGTAATAAGTAGAAAAATAAAGCTTTAGACCTGTAATTGGCAAAAAAGCTTTCAGCTCCTCGTTTGGACACACCACCATCATAAGAAAGTGTAAAAAGTCTTGTGAAAACAGGATCAATCAAAGTCAGATGCGCAATTTTTTCATATAATCCTGCGGCTTCATGGATTTTCTTAGAGAGAAAATAAATTTACGATTTATCGTAGCTATATGGTATGGCTTCCTCTGACATTCAATACTTAATTTTTATGTAGACTTAGACTTATATTCTGATTTGTTATTGCTACCTACCTACATTCTTTACAAATCTTCAAATTTTGACACAAAATTTTCCGAATTTCGATTTTTACATTCTAAAAACTTACCAAAATCTCAATATACTTCCATAAACTCCCAAAACTCAGCTAGCGCTGTTTAGTATCCAACACACTCAAAAACCAGCACAAAATTAAAAAATCACTCAACCAATCTACCAACCCCCACTGAGTTCCATCAATTCCGACTTGAATCGCGCACCTTACCCCTTTGAAACGTCAAAAACGTGCCCCAAAATTGCCGTAAAACGTCGAAAAATAAGCAGTTGTGTTGCTTCTATCGATAAACGCGCGGCTGTCAAAGACCAAACGATCTAGTCAGCTTTGGGTTAGTACACGCTTTCATGTCTCTCAGCTAACTACGATAGTCGACATTCAACAGGTTGGTTGTTGCATGAAATCAAGTTAGCTTACCTTACGAGACAGGTACGTGGATGTAGTATTAGAGGTATGAAAAAAATTAATGTTATGCCAATTACTTTATCTCAGTAACATGTTTATACAGTCTTATAAAGTCCGCATTATATGGAATTTTTTTTTATTTAGTTTACGCAAATTTAGAACATTTTTTTACTTCCATTCTCAGAAAACCAGAGAATGAAAGTACCTAAATATTAATAAATCCAAATTGATGATACAAATAATAAAGGTACATAAAAAGTAAAGACATAACACTAGGAAGGATAACAACCTACAAATACCTATGAAGTATATTATTAGAGGACGAAAGAATAGATGTGTAACTTACAAATAAGGCAAATAAATCAGTCAGAGTATAATATTCCCTAAATAAAACAATATTATCCTTCGAGCTATTTTCGACCAGTCCAGTCTGGCTCTAATCCCTTAAGTTGTCCCTCTCTGCCTTATTTGATCCTTTTGCTGCATCTACTTTTATAAATACCAAGATAATTTTATAAAGTGGGCAAACCTCCGAAATCCTCCCTTGACACTAAGTGAACTATAATGCCATGGAACGATGATGACAGTGCCTAGACAAAGATTTTGGTGAATGCATTTTCTAAAAAATACCGGAGGCACCAGTCTAATAAATTGTGGATCAGCCGAAATTTGTTCTGGTTCTAGTTGAGGAACGTCTAGAATTTTCCTAGCAAATTCTGAGGAATGCGTGAATATTTGAGAAATACCACATATGTATAAAAGAACCGTTTTGCTGTTGGAGCGGAGAATTGAAATTTAGATATCGATGAAAGCAGATTAATATTATTAATATAAATTAGTACATAAGTAAATAATAATAATAATAATAATAATAATAATAAAGCGTCTTTATTCATCAAGTTTTAGTATAAGTGTAAATATATACATATATAAGGTAGATGAAAAGGTGAAGTTCAGCTTGTGCTGATTTACAACTTAACCTGTAAATAACATTGAAATATAATAATATAATATAATAGAGAAAAAAAAGTATAAAAAATAAACAGATTTTCAAAACCAAATTCGTTGCATTATATAATATATTTTTTTTATGACCATTGCTTATTGAACAAAGAATCTTTTAGTCGTTTCTTGAAATTAAGCAAGTTATATGATTTAAATTCATTTGTAAGTTTATTGTACTCTTTACATGCAACATACGAAAAACATCTTTTAAATAGAGCCGTGTTATGATTCGGTACCACCAAGGTCATTCGATTCCGCGTAGGAAATTCATTAATATTGGCAAATGTCTTTAATTTGTTAACTAAATAATCAGGTTTCTGTATGAGTAAAACTTTGTGAACTTGGGTTAATAAATGCAAAAGGCGATAGTTATTGAAAGTCAACCAACCTGATTCTTTCATTTTATTCGAGATATGATCAAATTTTCGAATTCCATAGGCGAAACGTAGACAGCTATTCTGGATTTTTTGTAAACGAGCGGAATCGGATTGGAGTAGGGCTGGACCGTAGATGGAATCACAATAACTGAGTTTGGAAAAAATGAGAGATTCACAAAGTTTAAGTTTGAGTTGTGTGGAAAGCAGGTCTCGGTTAGGGTACAACTGTCTCAAGACGTTGAACGAACTTTGAGATATGGTGGAGGTATGTTTACTAAAACGAAGATCAGAATCTAACCAGAGACCTAAGTTTTTTCCTTCATTCGTGAATTGAAGAAGAGCATCGCCTAATTTAATTTGTAATGCGTTTATTGTTAATTGTCTTAATTTTTTGGGGCCAAATAACATGATGGATGATTTTTTAGAATTTATTTTGAGGTTGTGAGCTGTAGAAATATCAAGTAATGCATTTAAATCGTCGTTAATAAGATTTTGGGCAGTAAGTAAGCACTTATTATTAAACGAGTGATATAACTGGGTATCATCTGCATAATGATGGATCACACAATTTTTAACAAAACTATGAAAATCTGCTATATATAGTGAAAACAGCAGTGGTCCCAGAATGGATCCCTGCGGAACACCTTGACTAACGGGTAGACTGCTGGATACATCAGCTTTCAAAATAACTTTATGAGTACGATTGCTAAGAAAATTTGATATTAGACGAACGGATTTATGAGAAAAACCGAAAAATTTCAGTTTTTTGCAAAGTGTTGGATGATCTAAAGTATCAAATGCTTTGCTATAATCAAGAAGAACCAAACATGTGACTTTTCCCAGGTCTGTCGCTTTAAAAAGGTCATCCGTGATAGATAAGAGGGCAGTGGTCGTACTATGGTGCATTCTAAAGCCAGATTGAGCTGGAGTTATTATATTTTGGTCATATACATATTTGCTAATTTGATCTTTAAGTATAAATTCAAACGATTTAGAAAGGGTTGGTAGAATACTAATAGGACGCAAGTCAGATAAGCTAGTAGGTTGATTACATTTAGCAAGCGGAATAATAAAGGCCCGTTTCCACGAAAGTGGATAATGAGACGAAGAAATTATTTTATTAAAAATAAATGTTAAATGATTGATTAAATAATTTTCTACTAACTGTATCATGCGCAGTGATATGTTATCTAAACCAACGGCATGACTTTTTATACGATTTAGAGATTTTCGAACTGTATCAGAAGAGACAGATTTAAATTCGAATTTATTTTCATATATATTTTCATAGTACCGATCAAGTAAGGCTAATTGGTCATGTGACTTCAGAGTAGTAGGAGATGAATTAAAATGTTTGTTAATTTCAGTAACATTACTTAAGTTAGGTGGTATAATAGGACTGGCTTTTTTTCTAAGAATTTCTAAGGATCTAAGAGTGTTCCAGGTGGTCTTGGAATTCTTTTCTCTAAGAATAAAGTTTAAATAAGCCTTTTTTTTCTCGTCGAATTGCTCCAGTAGTAAAATTCCTTAGGTCGGTATAGCTAGTCCAATTTACTGCAGTCTTATTTTTTTTATATTTTTTTAAAGCTTTGTCTCTTAACGAAATCATTACTTTTATATTATAAGTAATCCAAGGGGTATGCGGTTTCGTAACTTTTTTTCTTACTAAAGGAGCATATACAGAGAAAAGCTGGATTAAGGAATTATTCAGATGGGAAATCATATGTTCAACGTAATTTAATTCGTAAATTATGTCCCAATTTATGGAACCTAATTCAGCATTAAAAAGATTAATATCAAATCGTGAAAAGTCACGATAGGTTATATACTTAGCTTTCTTTTCTAAAGTGATTGACTCTATGTTGCAAAGAACAGCTTGATGATATGACAAGCCACGGCCTCTGACATCTAATACCTCAACACATGTTGTTTGATGGACATCTGACACAAATATAATGTCGATGAGAGTTTTGCTGTGCGGGTTATATGAGTTGGTTCATTAACAATTTGTGTTAGTCCATAGGAATTTAAAAAATTTATACATAGATCACAACCTCTACTAGGCGTCATAAAATCATAAAATCATAAAATCTATATGTAAATGTAATATGAATTGATATACAAGGTTTGAAGAATTGATTAACGTATTAGTATCAATAAATTAAAGAAGGATATAAGAAAGGAATAAAAGAACAGTTTCGCTTCAAAAATAATAAAAAATGAGGTTGACGATTTCTGTTGATCGGCTATGCCTGTCAAAATTTACAAGTTGGATTATTCCTTGAAATTTAAAAAATATGTCTACTGAAAAGGTGTCAACTTAAAAAGTTGTTACTTCTCACGTTTCTCCCATCTAACAGTTTAAAGGTACAGTTATATCTGACATTTATTGCATGATATTTATGTCTGACAGTTATTTAGTCCAGTGTAAACACACAAAAATTTCTCTCGGACATATATTTTTGAGTGTTTACACTGGAATAAACAACTGTCAGACATAAATACCATGCAATAAATGTCAGATGTAACTGTACCTTTACAAATTTGGATAACTTTAATTTTTACAGCATATTTGTATTTTTGTAAAATTATATTTGTAAAAAAAATACTTCAGCGCACTTCCAAGTTGTCCAAATTCGTTAAAATTTGGTAGGTGGGTAGAAAACTGAAGAGAAACAACTTTTAAGGTAAATTTGTATCAGCAGTGTAGTAAGGCTTTTTTTCTAAGCTCTATAAATAAAATGTAATATTGAGAATGTTTTATTGTACATCTTATTCTCAATATTAGTGATTTTTTCAGATTTTTCTTAGTGTCACCTTTGTTTTGTGTGTCATCGGCTTTAACTGCTAAGGTTATTTCGCCCCGTGTTCTGGGTAGGCTTTGTTACTGTTTCCCAGCGCCACTTTAGGAACAGCACTGTTAATTATAACCCAACAGTGAATGGTCGAGTGGGAAATCCTACCAAGGCATCAGAATTAATTTTAAATAATCAAATTAGATAAAAAAATCCCGGCCAACGGTGGGATTCGAACCTAAGACCCTTGGATCCACAGGCAGAGACTCTATCACTGAGCCACCCACCCCAAAGTGTTACCTTTAAAGATAAATTGGAGACAACTATTTTTAAACGTTTTTTTTTTTCTTTGAAAATAGGATAACGAAAAGGTAACGCAAACAATCGTATTGTATATTTTTGAAATCGTGCTTCAAAGATTTTATTTGATACCCCTCATGTATACAAGTATTTGGGCCACTACTTGCTACAACCTTTTCAAATTTCAATTAACAGATACCAAGGTAATATACCTTTCCCGTTACTGCTCATCTCTATTACTCAGGAGCAAACTACTTCCGCTTAAAATTATCAAAATTTATTGATGGTGTGTTGAAACATTCAACATATTAAAGTAAGCATAAAACAATATATTGAAGCAGAAAACAATAATATTTAATTTCATAAAGCACTATCTAAGCTCAAAAATCAGAAACCATCCCTGAAGCATGTTAAAATCTCGAAACTCTACGCAATCAGCGTTACAGCATAAGTCACTAGTCATGTGAACGCTTATCTTTAAAATAATAGGTCTT